CGACCGTATCCTCGTGCGAGAGACTACTTCAGGGATGACGTCACTTTGTTGACAGTTTGATCGGTTGTAGATTTTCTGATACGAGAGTGAAAGCCGAGAGATGTGGGTTGACATTCAAGTATTTTATATTTAATGTACATCTTCCTAACTGAATGAAATACTGAAAAGAATAATTATATTCTTGTAATTTAATAAATGTTATTGTGCAATTCTTAATTGTGAAATTATTCTTGAAAATTATATAATTAAAACTGTGTGGTTGGTGGTATTGGGAGTGATCCACAATTCGCTACCCAAAGCTGTACCCCAATACCCACCCCCTAAACCGTTACAGCTACATTATCATCTAAAACTGGCTTCCATATGCGATATCACTTGGATGGATATCAAGTGATCTCCCCTAGGCTTTACAAATCATTGTGACGTCATCGGTTACCCTGACGTCACAATCAATTACATCACTTATCTGTCGGCCATTGCATCCGGTTGCTTCGCTTCAAGACACTGGTTCTTATTATCTATAAACTGAAATATTTGGAAGGGCGATTATGGATGATAAATAGAATTCCACTCGAAATTCATTTGTATCCAATATCCTTGTATAATTGTATTAACATGATTCATGTGATATCGCCTTTGATATCCGTATCAAATACGTCACAACGACGTAGTGTTTGTTTCATTTAAGCTACCATTAAACATGGGTGTAAGCTTTCTTTTACTCGGCTGTTTATATCACTATTCTTCAATAAGCTTTGAACCTTTAAATTTGTATCGCCTTGAATTGCTATATTTGATATCAAAAGACAATCAGTGAGGTTCTCTCTGTGCATGCCCCTTTCCAGATGTCGTGATATGACGGCTATATATTGTATCCAGCGTGAAATAGATTTACAAACGGTTGCCATGTCAGCTGATGGAGGAACACGTTGATCGATGGGCAGCAGGAACTCACAGCGATAGGAGTTTCCAATGAAAGTGTCGCAGCAGCAGCGCTGATAACACCAACTAACAGCTTCCGTCTGATATAATCAACGTGTTTGCAAGGCTACAAATGTGATACGGACTTGCGAAGGGGTTGGTGCCAAAATATTCAGCCTTAAATTCAGATATATAGATGTATATGTCTGTCTATTATTTCAACAATGCCAAGTATCTTCTCCTCATGTAACCTGTTGGAAATCAAAGACAGTGTCATATCTGGTTGTATACATATAAATTCAATATGATGGCAGCCTATATACAAAAGGGTTGATTTCTATTTTCCAGGCGAATTTCCCCTTCGTGTCGAGCAGTATACTTTTAGCATCAGATGAATGCGCAAATTGTTTAGGTACTTTCATCTAAATTTCAAGGAAAATCACCTTTTTGCCTGCAACTAAGCTTTTCAACCAATGTTTAACTGGCAAAGGCGAAGAAGGAGATCGGGTTGTCAGACTCCCCGACTTGGTTGATGCATGTCATCGATCCCAATTATGTACATCGAAGCTCACAATGTCAGTCACTGGAGTGTCTTGACAAGATTCGATTATTGACAAACAGCCGTCACACAGTTGGAATTAAGCTGACTGTGGCGTTAATCAACAAACAAACAAACTAATATTTCCATGGACATTGCGCGAGTGGTGGGTGCAACAGGTAGAGAAGAATATGCGTACCTTTGTCGCGAACCCCGGGTGTCGTCACTGATAGTCAGGGATCCATTGATATAATGCAGCAGATATTCGAGACTGAACACGCGGACCCAAACCTACAAATGCATCTATGGGGAAGCTATGTATAGGTCTGCAGGCCCAGAAACACACTCCTCCGGGAACAAGTCGGCTAGTACCTTCCTCTCCCAAAACTCAAATACTTAGTGAGGTGAGGTGAAATGCGGTTTAAAGTCGCGTTCATCATTATTGGACTTATACAGCAGCTTTTAGGGGATTGCCTAAAAGTCGGGCCAAGAAAAGTCGGGCCGGGCCGGGCCAGCGGGTAATACTAAAAATGGATTGCAGAATAATAACACGAAACGTGCATATCTAGGCAGATCGATATCTCAATTGTCCAGAAACGTATAGTTTTGCTCATTTAATTGAGTTTGAATCGAAATGCATACCGAAAAGTCAGTGTCTTGACAGTGTCTTTTCTTTGATGAGAAGGTTTCTCACCGACCTTAGCGTGTAGGGGTGTGATGTCCTGGGCAGGAAATGACAGTGTTTTGACTACTCTTCTTTCATTAATTAACGTGTTTGGCATCCCTAATTAACCTTTACTAATTCATGTTAAACCAACACAGGATGTTTTCTGCAAGTGGATATTCGCGAATGTCATAAGGCTGACAGGACACGTGTTAATAACTGTCAAAGCGCTTCTTTACAACACATACTTTACATCTATAGACTAGTATTATATCTACCTTAACACTTTAGTGTCTCATATTGCAGTAGCAAACACGGTGCTCAAAAGTGAAGCCCTTTTCCTCTCTATCAGAAGTGTTTGGCTTGTGTTGGGTCCGACTTGGTCCGGGCGGTCAAACTCTTCTATAAACATACAGATGTATCTTCAAATGTATTTACATCTATAGATTAGTATTAAATCTACCTATATACCACTTTATAATGTCACGGTGCATGGTATTTAAAGAAAACAAGGTGCTCAAAGTGAAGCCCTTTTCCCTCTACACTTTCAACATAGTCTCTATCAGAAGTGTTTGGCTTGTGTTGGGTCCGACTTGGCCCGGGCCGACGAAATCAACATTAAACACACAGATGTATCTTCAAATATGTTTACATCTATAGATTAGTGTTATATCTACCTATATACTACTTTATAATGTCACGGTACATCGTATTTAAAGAAAACAAGGTGCTCACAGTGAAGCATTTTTACTGTATTTTCTTAAGAAAATCTATGCCAGAAGTGTTCGGTCTGACTTGGCCCGGGCTGTCAAAATCAACTTAAACCTCACAGATGTATCATCAATTGGATTCACATCTTTAGATTAGTAGTGGGTAGTGGGAAGGCTTTCCTCAATCTCCATGACGGAGACTGGTGAATTCTTCTTTGCTTTGGGTGGCCTAGCCTTCTGCACCGGGCTTGGTGCAGCAAGGGTAGGGGCCGGGGTGGGTTTCTCCTGGGACTTGGTCTTGACCAGAGGTCTCTTCCTTTGTCCGAGGTCAAAGGAGATGGAGAGTGTGGAGGTGCTGGACTTGTAGAAAGTCCTGAGGGAGTAGTCCCAAACCCTGTAGGCCAGCAGGGGCTCCAGGGTGGCAACTAGCTCCCTCGGCAGTCTCTCATTGTAGAGCGTTGGTTAGCGAGCTTGGGAGGACACGTCTGCACAGGGCGAGTGTCCAAGCCGAGGACTTTAACCAACGTGTCTGCTTTAAATACGACGATCACTGACATTATAAAGTGGTATTTACTTAGATATAGTACGTTCCTATAAATATAAACGCTATTCTGACAGGTGGAAATTGTATCACGATAGCTAGAAGTATTTGATACGTTTCAAATCATATTTCGTTCGACGATTGCTCTTTTACATGTTACCAAGATCAGCGACGCTTACACACAGCTCCACTTTCTGGTTTTCAAGCGATTTACTCCGAATTACTTATTTATGGTGCACTTTTTTGTTTGGTCATTGTTGTGCATTAATGTCATGTTTGATGGTGCATCAATTATATGTAGGTATGATCGCCGATAATGACGTAATTAGCCAGTAACACTTTGGCCCGTCTTGGCCCGGCCCGGCCCGACTTTTAGGCAATGCCAGCTTTTAGCATACTGTGATACCGTGCAGTAGTTTATCATAGATTCCCTATTGAGACGCAGTATACTAACTCCGAGACGATCAGTCCTTTGTATCCCCTTAAACCCATAGGTATAATAAACGTCAATGATATTCAATAAAACTTATTTAACCGGTTTCAACCGGCTCCAACCGGTACTACAACAAACTGGCACAGCATGCCCGTGTTCACAGTGTTGTAGTGTTTGCATACACGTCATTCTCACGCGGCACCCACTAACGTGTTCCTAAAATTAGACAGTTGTATGCACTTAATGTGCCAGCTGTTGCTTACCGGTTGAGTTGGCAAGATAAATTACATTGTTGGAGATGAACATACGTATATTTGGCCCGATAACTGGACATTCCACGTGAAAGCGAGATGTGTTCGTAACTGTCATTCAGTGAGCATCGTGCAAAACGTTGACGAGTTTTGCCGGGTTTTTTTCATGTACTATTTGTACGTCTAGATGTACCAACACGACCTTGAATGTCGATGATGGTTACATAAAATCCGAAAAAAAGATCAATGACTCATAATATCACGTACACAACGGCTAAAAAACACGTCAACGATGCATAATATGGTACCTGGTATGCCGCTGTTTGTCACATCCGCGCTTAGATATTCGTCACATTAGACTAGGTTAATCGCCAATGCACAATAAGCTGTGACACATGACACTATCCACAGTCAGAGCTACGGACATGGCTTAGGGTTAAAGAAACGGGTAAATGAGTGAATGAGATTTACCGCTGCTTGTTGTTTGCTGCTTGTTGTTTGTTTGTTTTTTAGCAATACTCCAGCTCTATGACTGAAGTCTGTAAATAATAGAGTCTGGGCCAGACAACCCAGTGATTGACATCATGAGCATAGATCTACGCAAATGGGATACGATCACATGCATCAACCAAGTCAGCGAACAAGATCACCCGATTCCGTTAGTCGCCCTTTAGACAAGCATGGGTTGCTGAAGACCTATTCTACCCCGGATTTTCACAGTATTTCAGTCATATCACAGCTTGTCGGGTTGATGTGGACGGTGCACGTTTACTACTTCCGTTAACATCGCGAGCTGGAGACATAATCCAGGCGAATATGGATTCGATCTGTTAGGGGAAGCAACTCTGCAAAAGGAACTGAAGCGTCGCAGACAATTGGGTCACCCGTGCACCCAGTAAAGAAGTGATTGAGGGTATTTTTGAGTTAAAACATCATTCTTACTCTACCCCAGCCCTCTCTTCGATATGTGTCGGCTTCCTCCAGCCGGAAGGCGCCATGCGTGGCCTCAGGCCTGTCCATCGCACTCACAACCACCTGTAACATAACGTTACACGGGATAACTCACAACTGTATGTTACACAAAGTTGCATGGGGACACACACATCTATCTGTAGCACAAGATTACATGTGGACACTCACAGTTAGCTGTAACACATCGTTACATGTGGACACTCACAGCTAGCTGTAACATAGCGTTACATGTGGACACTCACAGCTAGCTGTAACACAGCGTTTCATGTGGACACTCACAGCTAGCTGTAACACAGCGTTTCATGTGGACACTCACAGCTAGCTGTAACACAGCGTTTCATGTGGACAATCACAGCTAGCTGTAACACGACGTTTCATGTGGACACTCACGGCTAGCTGTAACACGACGTTACATGTGGACACTCACGGCTAGCTGTAACACGACGTTACATGTAGACACTCACAGCTAGCTGTAACACAGCGTTTCATGTGGACAATCACAGCTAGCTGTAACACGACGTTTCATGTGGACACTCACGGCTAGCTGTAACACGACGTTACATGTAGACACTCACAGCTAGCTGTAACATAGCGTTGCATGTGGACACTCACAGCTAGCTGTAACACGACGTCTCATGTGGACACTCACAGCTAGCTGTTACACGACGTTTCATGTGGACACTCACAGCTAGCTGTAACACGACGTTACATATGGACACTCACAGCTAGCTGTAACACAGCGTTTCATGTGGACACTCACAGCTAGCTGTAACACAGCGTTTCATGTGGACACTCACAGCTAGCTGTAACACGACGTTACATGTAGACACTCACAGCTAGCTGTAACATAGCGTTGCATGTGGACACTCACAGCTAGCTGTAACACAGCGTTTCATGTGGACACTCACAGCTAGCTGTAACACAGCGTTACAATTGGACAATGGGGAATTTTACAAACATTTGAACACTAAAGCAACTGTGCTTCTAAGTCTTTCTCCAAAATGTTTGACATTATGTCTACTGCATCAATGGTATGTCTACTGCATCAATGGTACGTCTACTGCATCAATGGTATGTCTACTGCATCAATGGTACGTCTACTGCATCAATGGTATGTCTACTGCATCAATGGTATGTCTACTGCATCAATGGTATGTCTACTGCATCAGTGGTAGGTCTACTGCATCAATGGTATGTCTACTGCATCAATGTGGTATGTCTACTGCATCAGTGGTATGTCTACTGCATCAGTGGGCGTCTACTGCATCAATGGTATGTCTACTGCATCAATGGTATGTCTACTGCATCAGTGGGATGTCTACTGCATCAATGGTACGTCTACATCATCAATGGTATGTGTACTGCATCAATGGTACGTCTACTGCATGAATGGTATGTCTACTGCATGAATGGTATGTCTACTGCATCAATGGTATGTCTACTGCATCAGTGGGATGTCTACTGCATCAGTGAGACGTCTACTGCATCAATGGTATGTCTACTGCATCAATGGTATGTCTACTGCATCAATGGTATGTCTACTGCATCAGTGGTATGTCTACTGCATCAGTGGTATGTCTACTGCATCAGTGGGACGTCTACTGCATCAATGGTATGTCTACTGCATCAATGGTATGTCTACTGCATCAGTGGGATGTCTACTGCATCAATGGTACGTCTACATCATCAATGGTATGTCTACTGCATCAATGGTACGTCTACTGCATGAATGGTATGTCTACTGCATGAATGGTATGTCTACTGCATCAATGGTATGTTTACTGCATCAGTGGGATGTCTACTGCATCAGTGGTATGTCTACTGCATCAATGGTATGTCTACTGCGTCAGTGGGATGTCTACTGCATCAGTGGTATGTCTACTGCATCAATGGTACGTCAACTGCATCAGTGGTATGTCTACTGCATCAATGGTATGTCTACTGCATCAGTGGGATGTCTACTGCATCAGTGGTATGTCTACTGTATCAATGGTACGTCTACTGCATCAATGGTATGTCTACTGCATCAATGGTATGTCTACTGCATCAATGGTATGTCTACTACATCAATGGTATGTCTACTGCATCAGTGGGATGTCTACTGCATCAGTGGTATGTCTACTGCATCAGTGGTATGTCTACTGCATCAGTGGTATGTCTACTGCATCAATGGTACGTCTACTTCATCAGTGGTATGTCTACTGCATCAGTGGGATGTCTAGTGCATCAGTGGTATGGTTATAATTGAGACAACCAGCGTTTTTTAGAGAATCATGCTGTATTTATATCGTCAATAAGACAGACATTTTTTGACTACCAAAATGTTTAAGATTATGTAGACAATGTTCCTTAAATGTCGACGAAGGTGAAACTGTACTTTTTGCTCGTAAATGTTGAAAATATGATAATTTAAGGAAACATTATGTTGAACAAAAATGTACATCCAAAAGCATAAAGTATATCTGTATAATGTCACGTGTCAGAATGACGAATGAACATAATCTATCTCTATTTTACATCATGACATGTTATCAAGAAATTAATCTTTGTACAAATATAGAACCGCTTCCACAGTGTCACGTATTCTGTACTATGGACCCGTGGCCTTACGGTTATATGTGAAAAAAACTGAATGGAACACAAAGTTACTCAGGAAAACAGACATCTATCTGCAGCACTGTTACAAGGAAACACAGACAGCTATCTGTAACACTGTGTTACACGGAAACACAGACAGCTATCTGTAGCACTGTGTTACAAGGAAACACAGACAGCTATCTGTAACACTGTGTTACACGGAAACACAGACATCTATCTGCAGCACTGTTACAAGGAAACACAGACAGCTATCTGTAACACTGTGTTACACGGAAACACAGACGGCTATCTGTAACACTGTTACACGGGAACACTGACAGCTATCTGTAGCACTGTTACACGAAAACACAGACAGCTATCTGTAACACTGTTACACGGAAACACAGACATATATATGCAGCACTGTGTTACACGGAAACACAGACATCTATCTGCAGCACTGTTACAAGGAAACACAGACAGCTATCTGTAACACTGTGTTACACGGGAACACAGACAGCTATCTGTAACACTGTTACACGGAAACACAGACAGCTATCTGTAACACTGTGTTACACGGAAACACAGACGGCTATCTGTAACACTGTGTTACACGGGAACACAGACAGCTATCTGTAACACTGTTACACGGAAACACAGACATCTATCTATAGCACTGTTACACGAAAACACAGACAGCTTTCTGTAACACTGTGTTACACGGAAACACAGACGGCTATCTGTAACACTGTTACACGGGAACACAGACAGCTATCTGCAGCACTGTTACAAGGAAACACAGACAGCTATCTGTAACACTGTGTTACACGGAATGGTACGTCAACTGCATCAGTGGTATGTCTACTGCATCAATGGTATGTCTACTGCATCAGTGGGATGTCTACTGCATCAGTGGTATGTCTACTGTATCAATGGTACGTCTACTGCATCAATGGTATGTCTACTGCATCAATGGTATGTCTACTGCATCAATGGTATGTCTACTACATCAATGGTATGTCTACTGCATCAGTGGTATGTCTACTGCATCAGTGGTATGTCTACTGCATCAGTGGTATGTCTACTGCATCAATGGTACGTCTACTTCATCAGTGGTATGTCTACTGCATCAGTGGGATGTCTAGTGCATCAGTGGTATGGTTATAATTGAGACAACCAGCGTTTTTTAGAGAATCATGCTGTATTTATATCGTCAATAAGACAGACATTTTTTGACTACCAAAATGTTTAAGATTATGTAGACAATGTTCCTTAAATGTCGACGAAGGTGAAACTGTACTTTTTGCTCGTAAATGTTGAAAATATGATAATTTAAGGAAACATTATGTTGAACAAAAATGTACATCCAAAAGCATAAAGGATATCTGTATAATGTCACGTGTCAGAATGACGAATGAACATAATCTATCTCTATTTTACATCATGACATGTTATCAAGAAATTAATCTTTGTACAAATATAGAACCGCTTCCACAGTGTCACGTATTCTGTACTATGGACCCGTGGCCTTACGGTTATATGTGAAAAAAACTGAATGGAACACAAAGTTACTCAGGAAAACAGACATCTATCTGCAGCACTGTTACAAGGAAACACAGACAGCTATCTGTAACACTGTGTTACACGGAAACACAGACAGCTATCTGTAGCACTGTGTTACAAGGAAACACAGACAGCTATCTGTAACACTGTGTTACACGGAAACACAGACATCTATCTGCAGCACTGTTACAAGGAAACACAGACAGCTATCTGTAACACTGTGTTACACGGAAACACAGACGGCTATCTGTAACACTGTTACACGGGAACACTGACAGCTATCTGTAGCACTGTTACACGAAAACACAGACAGCTATCTGTAACACTGTTACACGGAAACACAGACATATATATGCAGCACTGTGTTACACGGAAACACAGACATCTATCTGCAGCACTGTTACAAGGAAACACAGACAGCTATCTGTAACACTGTGTTACACGGGAACACAGACAGCTATCTGTAACACTGTTACACGGAAACACAGACAGCTATCTGTAACACTGTGTTACACGGAAACACAGACGGCTATCTGTAACACTGTGTTACACGGGAACACAGACAGCTATCTGTAACACTGTTACACGGAAACACAGACATCTATCTATAGCACTGTTACACGAAAACACAGATAGCTTTCTGTAACACTGTGTTACACGGAAACACAGACGGCTATCTGTAACACTGTTACACGGGAACACAGACAGCTATCTGCAGCACTGTTACAAGGAAACACAGACAGCTATCTGTAACACTGTGTTACACGGAAACACAGACGGCTATCTGTAACACTGTTACACGGGAACACAGACAGCTATCTGTAGCACTGTTACACGGGAACACAGACAGCTATCTGTAACACTGTTACACGGGAACACAGACATCTATCTGTAGCACTGTTACACGAAAACACAGACAGCTATCTGTAACACTGTTACACGGGAACACAGACAGCTATCTGTAACACTGTTACACGGGATAACAGACGGCTATCCGTAACACTGTTACACGGGAACACAGACATCTATCTGTAGCACTGTTACACGAAAACACAGACAGCTATCTGTAACATTGTTACACGGAAACACAGACAGCTATCTGTAACACTGTGTTACACGGAAACACAGACGGCTATCTGTTACACTGTTACACGGGAACACAGACAGCTATCTGTAGCACTGTTACACGGGAACACAGACAGCTATCTGTAACACTGTTACAAGGAAACACAGACAGCTATCTGTAGCACTGTTACACGGGAACACAGACGGCTATCTGTAACACTGTGTTACACGGGAACACAGACAGCTATCTGTATCACTGTTACACGGGAACACAGACAGCTATCTGTAGCACTGTTACACGGGAACACAATCAGCTATCTGTAACACTGTGTTACACGGAAACACAGACAGCTATCTGTAACACTGTTACACGGAAACACAGACAGCTATCTGTAGCACTGTTACACGGGAACACAGACAGCTATCTGTAACACTGTGTTACACGGAAACACAGACAGCTATCTGTAGCACTGTTACACGGGAACACAGACGGCTATCTGTAACACTGTTACACGAAAACACAGACAGCTCTCTGTAACACTGTTACACGGAAACACAGACGGCTATCTGTAACACTGTTACACGGAAACACAGACAGCTATCTGTAGCACTGTTACACGGAAACACAGAAAGCTATCTGTAACACTGTTACACGGAAACACAGACAGCTATCTGTAACACTGTGTTACACGGGAACACGGACGGCTATCTGTAACACTGTTACACGGGAACACAGACAGCTATCTGTAACACTGTTACACGGGAACACAGACAGCTATCTGTAACACTGTGTTACACGGGAACACAGACAGCTATCTGTAACACTGTGTTACACGGAAACACAGACAGCTATCTGTAACACTGTGTTACACGGAAACACAGACAGCTATCTGTAACACTGTTACACGGAAACACAGACAGCTATCTGTAGCACTGTTACACGGGAACACAGACAGCTATCTGTAACACTGTGTTACACGGAAACACAGACAGCTATCTGTAGCACTGTTACACGGGAACACAGACGGCTATCTGTAACACTGTTACACGAAAACACAGACAGCTCTCTGTAACACTGTTACACGGAAACACAGACGGCTATCTGTAACACTGTTACACGGAAACACAGACAGCTATCTGTAGCACTGTTACACGGAAACACAGAAAGCTATCTGTAACACTGTTACACGGAAACACAGACAGCTATCTGTAACACTGTGTTACACGGGAACACGGACGGCTATCTGTAACACTGTTACACGGGAACACAGACAGCTATCTGTAACACTGTTACACGGGAACACAGACAGCTATCTGTAACACTGTGTTACACGGGAACACAGACAGCTATCTGTAACACTGTGTTACACGGAAACACAGACAGCTATCTGTAACACTGTTACACGGGATCACAGACGGCTATCTGTAACACTGTTACACGGAAACACAGACAGCTATCTGTAGCACTGTTACACGGGAACACGGACGGCTATCTGTAACCCTGTTACACGGGAACACAGACAGCTATCTGTAACACTGTGTTACACGGGAACACAGACAGCTATCTGTAACACTGTGTTACACGGAAACACAGACAGCTATATGTAGCACTGTTACACGGAAACACAGACAGCTATCTGTAACACTGTTACACGGAAACACAGACAGCTATCTGTAACATTGTTACACGGGAACACAGACGGCTATCTGTAACACTGTTACACGGGAACACAGACGGCTATCTGTAACACTGTTACACGGGAACACAGACAGCTATCTGTAACACTGTTACACGGAAACACAGACAGCTATCTGTAGCACTGTTACACGAAAACACAGACAGCTTTCTGCAGCACTGTTACACGGGAACACAGACAGCTATCTGTAACACTGTTACACGAAAACACAGACAGCTATCTGTAACACTGTTACACGGAAACACAGACAGCTATCTGTAACACTGTTACACGGGAACACAGACAGCTATCTGTAGCACTGTTACACGGGAACACAGACAGCTATCTGTAACACTGTTCCACGGGAACACAGACAGCTATCTGTAACACTGTTACACGAAAACACAGACAGCTTTCTGTAGCACTGTTACACGGGAACACAGACAGCTATCTGTAACAATGTATGACACGGAATCGCTGTGCCGAGTTGCGTGCCTTGGGCACGAGAGAAACCTAGAATTGTGGGTTCGAATCCCGGTTTGGCCCGATTATGTTTCTAGGTTTGTCAGCACCATACCCGTGCTCGTGGGTTTCACCGAAGTGGTAAACGTCTGAGACCTGCATCACTTCGGGCTTTCCTCCCACATTAAGCTGACACGACGTGATATAACTGGAAATACTGTAAAAAGCGGCGTTAAACCAAATTCACTCACTCACGCACTTTTACACGGAAATACAGACAGTTATCTGTAGCATTGTTACACGGGAACACGGACAGCTATCTGTAACACTGTATTACACGGAAACACAGACAGTTATCTGTAGCACTGTTACACAGGACCATAGACGGCTATCTGTAACATTGTTACACGGGAACACACATATATATATGCAGGGTATGAAACTCCCAAACATTTCAGCCAGACCACAGGACTGGATAGCTGAAATACTTGCCAGCCCTGACCAAAACCTACCTGCCCACTATAATCATATGTTTCTCAGGATTAGCTAACGGGATTTCTTTTTGGTTACATTTTATCATTCATCTTTACATGTGAATTAATGATTATCATCGGGAAATATTTAGAATATTGTCACATATGAAATATAACCCGACCGTCGGGCAGGGGGATTTGAAAATCTGGCAGCCCGTGTTGAAATCAACCCGTCTCGGACGGTCGGGCAGGCAGGTATTTCGAACACTGATATATGTAACAAAAAGTTACAGGGAAACATACGCATCTGTAACACAAAGTTACAGGGAAACACACACATACGCATCTGTAACACAAAGTTACAGGGAAACACACATATACGCATCTGTAACACAAAGTTACAGGGAAACACACACATACGCATCTGTAACACAAAGTTACAGGGAAACACACACATACGCATCTGTAACACAAAGTTACAGGGAAACACACACATACGCATCTGTAACACAAAGTTACAGGGAAACACACACATACGCATCTGTAACACAAAGTTACAGGGAAACATACGCATCTGTAACACAAAGTTACAGGGAAACACACACATACGCATCTGTAACACAAAGTTACAGGGAAACACACACATACGCATCTGTAACACAAAGTTACAGGGAAACACACACATACGCATCTGTAACACAAAGTTACAGGGAAACACACACATACGCATCTGTAACACAAAGTTACAGGACAACACACGGGTATCAAAGTTACATGAACATTTGTCGTCATTACAATCTTCCATATTCCAGATCACTCTGACTACAGATATAACACCTGCGGTTCGTGAGTACTTGACACACCTTAGTTCCATTTTACACAATTAAGCTCCTGAATAAACACAAAACATCTCGAGAATGATTTCCCATACGAATTAGTTTCCCTGAGAATGATTCGGTGGACTCAACAATAGAACCACGGGTGCACTGTGATGAGTTGCTCAATGCACGTGGGAGTGGAAATACTTGGAAAAAGTGGAAAAGGCTAAAAAATTCAAATCACCAGTGATTCAACATTTGAATAAGGACGGAGGGAGGTGTGAAGTTTTTGTCACGTGTCGTCAGTCGTGTCGCAATGCCAGTATCGAGCGATGAACAATACCGTCTCTATCAACTTCCGTATTTATACCAATAGAAACATGTCTTGTGTGTTAACTTGTATCAGACATCAAGGTCTTAGCTTTTAATGGTATTAACTAAATTAGATTATTGCTTTACCTGAAGATATGACAATCCAACTGTTTTAGTGAATCCATTCATTCAAACCCGCAGTCACCTTGCCGTCCGATATGGTATTGAAAGTCATTGATAGGCCGAGGATAGCGCCACCACACGCCAGCAAATTTTCCTGACGTGTTACTATCAATAGACTTGCTAAGTCGGTCAGTTTTGTGTAGCCGTCGTTGATATAGCCAGAGACAATAACATGTTTTGATCCCTTGAACATGTTTCTTCATGCAGTTAACTAGCTGTTTTTCATACTGAAACAAGTAATTGCTGACGTCAACGCTTATTTTGAATGTTGGGTTGAATGCATATTTTATCTACATGACGCTCTGCCTACATGTATATGAGATATCAAACATAGATGTGATCATGACACGTAGCGCCCTACGCTGTACACTGACACACGGGAAGAGAAAGCAGAACTGCCGCCAGGCCATCTGGATTAATTTTGATTCCTACTAACCAGCTGTTTGTTTGTTTGTTTGTTTGTTAAATGCCACACTCAGAAATATCCAAGCAGAATGACGCCTACCTGTGAATAATCGAGACTGGATTACAAAATCCAGTGATTGATATTATGAGCAACGTCAAACGCCGTCGGGGTAGGATGACATGCAACCAGCCAAGCACCGCCACCGAGCTCTGACATCTCCGCTTGTCTCGAAAAGATGGATAAGTAGAAAATGGATAGTCGACATATATATATATTCGGTAGTCCTCAGGTATTCGAGTTTACGACGTTTACTGTACTGGCACAAAGAACTAAATAAAAATCGTCCCGTTGTGATGAATAATTACACAAGTGAAGAATTACTTTTGGGTCTAGTGCACTGATTTAAACATTTTTTGTTTCATATACGAGTTGAGTGTGCCCTTAAATGTCGACGTTATTAAGTATTTAAGTGTTTCATATTTAATATAGATACTGGTATATTTCTTGGTTTCCAAAGGAGCACTGCAAGTTCTGTTGTGTTTGAGTGCCACGTAATTGGTACATAACTTGTCAGTGTTCAGCTGTACACGTGATGACTTCACAACAATAACAGGATGCACTGAACATGTCAAAACAACAACAATCACTCAACAGGATTCGTATAACGCAGCAGTCAAATACTGATAACACAGCAGTCAAATAGTGATAACAATGCAGTCAAATAGTGATAACACAGCAGTCAAATAGTGATAACACAGCAGTCAAACAGTGATAACACAGCAGTCAAATAGTGATAACAAAGCAGTCAAATAGTGATAACACAGCAGTCAAACAGTGATAACACAGCAGTCAAATAGTGATAACAAAGCAGTCAAATAGTGATAACAAAGCAGTCAAATAGTGATAACGCAGCAGACAAATATTGATAACAAAGCAATCAAAAAGTGATAACACAGCAGTCAAAAAGTGATAACAAAGCAGTCAAACAGTGATAACAAAGCAGTCAAATAGTGATAACAAAGCAGTCAAATAGTGATAACGCAGCAGACAAATATTGATAACAATGCAGTCAAAAAGTGATAACACAGCAGTCAAAAAGTGATAACAAAGCAGTCAAACAGTGATAACAAAGCAGTCAAATAGTGATAACGAAGCAGTCAAATAGTGATAACACAGCAGTCAAATAGTGATAACAAAGCAGTCAAATAGTGATAACGAAGCAGTCAAATAGTGATAACACAGCAGTCAAATAGTGATAACGAAGCAGTCAAAAAGTGATAACACAGCAGTCAAACAGTGATAACAAAGCAGTCAAATAGTGAAAACAAAGCAGTCAAATAGTGATAACACAGCAGACAAATATTGATAACAAAGCAGTCAAATACATGTATTGATATCAAAGCAGTCAAATATTGAGAACAAAAAAGTCAAATATTGAGAACAAAACAGTCAAATAGTAATAACAAAGCAGTCAAAAAGTGATAACAAAGCAGTCAAAAAGTGATAACACAGCAGTCAAATAGTGATAACAAAGCAGTCAAATAGTGATAACACAGCAGTCAAATAGTGATAACGAAGCAGTCAAATAGTGATAACAAAGCAGTCAAATAGTGATAACACAGCAGTCAAAAAGTGATAACACAGCAGTCAAACAGTGATAACACAGCAGTCAAACAGTGATAACACAGCAGTCAAATAGTGATAACAAAGCAGTCAAATAGTGATAACACAGCAGTCAAATAGTGATAACGAAGCAGTCAAATAGTGATAACAAAGCAGTCAAACAGTGATAACAAAGCAGTCAAATAGTGATAACACAGCAGTCAAATAGTGATAACGAAGCAGTCAAATAGTGATAACACAGCAGTCAAACAGTGATAACAAAGCAGTCAAACAGTGATTACGAAGCAGTCAAATAGTGATAACACAGCAGTCAAATAATGATAACGAAGCAGTCAAATAGTGATAACGAAGCAGTCAAATAGTGATAACGAAGCAGTCAAATAGTGATAACACAGCAGTCAAACAGTGATAACAAAGCAGTCAAACAGTGATAACGAAGCAGTCAAATAGTGATAACACAGCAGTCAAATAATGATAACACAGCAGTCAAATAGTGATAACGAAGCAGTCAAATAGTGATAACACAGCAGTCAAACAGTGATAACAAAGCAGTCAAATAGTGATAACGAAGCAGTCAAATAGTGATAATCACTATGCGCGTGTGTGCGTGTATGTGTGTGTTTCACCAAATCATTGCATCCAAATGGACAGAGAAAGTTAATTCTTTGTTTATTTATGTGCGAAAGTTCAGCCACAATTCCCCGAAATACGCTTCACGAAGATAATATTACCCAAATAATATCATATCAAATCAACTTCTATCGATATCGTGATTGTCTCAAAATAATTCGAACAAACTTCCTGTTCAGTTGTTGTGAGTACAGTTAGATCCTGTTCATGGGGCCGGTTCAGTATTTCCAGCTCAGCATCAAGTCAGGGATGAATCGATTGCTTCACATGACGCGCACAGCACAACAGCCAACCCGATACAAGGGGATTTCCTAGCTTTCAATTCTTTCACAATATTAGCTGTCCCCTCAAAACCACAACACAATTGTTAAGAACATAACCGTTTACCCAGGAAGTATACATCCACCGACAACTCACTACACCGACAGTGACCTCGGCCGCTGAGTTTGTATCATAGTCTATTCTTAGTAACACATCACGATCCGCAAGTGCGTTGGCGATATAAAACTCGCCAGGCAATAGCTGTCACCTCCTATCGTTCGGATACCGGCCGGCGAGGCAAACCCTACGAACCACTATGTCCCTTCCAAACCTTGAGGAGTTTAGTTCAAGTTCTGGGGATGAATTGCGAACAGATCTGAAATCATTAATACACCAACGCGGCGGGACATACGACACGGAAGAATTATGGCGGAAACCACCGGAGTACGAGGTAAGGATGCGGTTGGACAGTGAGGGGACAAATCGTTCCCGTGTCATTTTTAGGAAGGCGGGTTTGGAGGGATGGAGAAGCCAGTGATTGTTGCCGTAAACGGTACACGGGGACCCGATCACTGTGACCTCCATATCGCTGTTGGTTGTTTCCCGGTGTGTATTGATGCGGTCTACAATGGCGGTCGCTGTGTTGAAAACGAACGCCGTGTTGTAAATATAGCGTCGTGTGCAGTGTTATGACTTGTGTCGTTCTTCTCGCAAGCGTCCTGACGCCACAGGCACTGCACACTCTACCTGCTGTGATATCGGCTTGAAAGAAGGCGTTTGAAATGCAAAAGAATAAATGCATTTGCTACTAACGCATGCACCTGCAGTAAGGGCCGAACTCAATATTGCATATGCAAGCTTGATGTCGTCTAACTCATGTGTAACCACACACACACACACACACACTCCAAAGTACAGTTTCTGCAAGGTAACAATGTATTATACAGCATTGTATATGATATTTGATCGTTAGACGTATTATTACTTTAGCACAGGAAATAATAATCTATTTAAAGCTATATATGTATAAAACGTTAAATGTAAGAATAAGGTTAGTGTCATGAATCTGTCATGAATAGATCATTCATGAATTTAGTATAATGAAATACATTGTTTAAAAGTCGACCCAGCACCCTACACCACGCCGTCTAGACTGAGGGAGTGTCCCACAGTAGCGTCACTACCAAGCGCTATACTCTTGTCAATATCAGCTGTCAACACTTCGACTAACCGCCCAGCACACTGATTACATGTTTACCGAAGTGCTCTGTTTGTTACGTCAGCACTATTTATGGACCTAAGCATACCATCATGAGATGACCTACTTCTAGTAAAATTGACATCAGCGGAATTCAGCTGACAGTCATCGACGTGTTGACAGTTGACCGAACACAATCATTCCAAATATATGTACAGTAAATATGTATATCTAAAGCTAATGTGATCATGCATTGTTGTCCTGTTACGTACGCTACAGATAAAAAGATAATAGTGTGTGTGTGTGTGTGTGTGTGTGTGTGTGTGAGAGAGAGAGGGAGAGAGAGAGAGAGAGAGAGAGTCTAAATACATGGTATTAGTTGTTGTGTTTAGATGGCACTTGCATTGTCTCGGTTTGACCGTATTTCTCAGTGTGCTCACAGACCCGTGAGGATCCGGGTTAAAATTAGTCATCAACAACCCAGGCCCCTACCCTTGTCGTAAGAGGTGAATAACGCTATCGGGTGATCAGGCCCGCCCACTTGGTTGATGCATGTTGTCGTGTCCGTACTGCGTACATCGATGCTCATGGTATCAATCACTAGATTGTCTTTTCCAGACTCGATTATTTAGAGACCGCCGTCATGAAGCTAGAATATTGTTGCGTGTGGTGTTAAACAACAAACAAACAACAAAACAAAATCTAGACGCTGACATTGACCTGATGCTTGTCGAAAGGGCGATTAAGGGGATCGGGTGGCCAGATTTCGTTATCATATTGCTGAGTGCGGTGTTAAACAACAAACAAACAAACAAATCTCCGACAGTTGTATTTTAATGTCGCTCTGTGACATGAGGTTCGGAATGCCAGACGTATTGTAAAAGATGGGAAGTCGGTGCCAACGACGTCACTACCTGGTCGCACCTCCACGACGGGAAGGGTGTATGTCTGACTGTTCCGTGCGTTGTGTCCATATGCTCCTGTTTTCTAATGTGTTGCTTTGCGTGTCTACAGTCTACAGAAGATGATAAGCAGAGGTCAGAACAACGCAAGGAGAACAACAAAGTCGCCGCCAAGAAAAGTCGTCTCAAGAAGAAACATCAGTTGGACGGTCTTGAAAAGGTGTGTGAGACTTGTCCTGTCGCGCAATGCCCATCTAGCCACGTCCAAACTAATCACGTGACGTTAACATGATACTCGTCTCTCACATAAATATCAAGTTATCACGCCACTTTTGATACCATCAACTTAATCAACCACGCAAACGCCAGTGATCTATTGACCCATCCAAACGTCTATCGTAGTATGCAATTAACCACACAAATGTCACCTGTCTACCGATATACGCACACAATCTCCCACCCATCCATCCATTCATCCACACCATCATCAGTGTATTGCTTCCCATCCAGTCAATCGTGCAAATTTTCAATCATCACACAGTCATACATACAATTATCACCAGACTCCCATACAATAATCACCAGACTCCCATACAAACATCACCCAAACTCCCATACAATCATCACCAGATTCCCATACAATCATCACCCAGACTCCCATACAATAATCACCAGACTCCCATACAAACATCATCCAAACTCCCATACAATCATCACCAGATTCCCATACAAACATCACCCAGACTCCCATACAATCATCACCAGACTCCAAAACAAACATCACCCACACTCCCATACAATCATCACCAGATTCACATACAATCATCACCCAGACTCCCATACAATCATCACCAGACTTCCATACAATCATCAGAAGATTCCCATACAATCATCACCCACACTTCCATACAATCATCACCCAGACTCCCATACAATCATCACCAGATTCCAATACAATCATCACCCAGACTCCCATACAATCATCACCAGACTCCCATACAATCATCCCCCGGGCTCCCATACGATCATCACCCAAACTCCAATACAATCATCACCAGATTACCATACAATCATCACCCAGACTCCCATACAATCATCACCAGATTCCCATACATTCATCACCCAGACTCCCATACAATCATCACCAGACTCCCATACAATCATCACTAGACTCCCATACTCATATCACCCAGACTCCCATACAATCATCACTAGACTCCCATACTCATATCACCCAGACTTCCATACAATCATCACCCAGACTCCCATACAATCATCACCCAGACTCCCATACAATCATCACCAATCCATAACCCCACCAGCTTATCTACAAGTTTGACAAGCACCTACCCAGCCCCTCAGCCTTGGTTCCCAACCAGCTTATCTACAAGTATGACAACCACCCACCCAATCCCTCAGCCTTGGTTCCCAACCAGCTTATCTACAAGTATGACAACCACCTACCCAGTCCCTCAGCCTTGGGTCACAACCAGCTTATCTACAAGTATGACAACCACCCACCCAGCCCCTCAGCCTTGGTTCCCAACCAGCTTAACTACAAGTATGACAACCACCTAACCCAGCCCCTCAGCCTTGGTTCCCAACCAGCTTATCTACAAGTATGACAACCACCAACCAGTCACTCAGCCTTGGTTCCCAACCAGCTTATCTACAAGTATGACAACCACCCACCCAGCCCCTCAGCCTTGGTTCCCAACCAGCTTATCTACAAGTATGACAAGCACCTACCCAGCCCCTCAGCCTTGGTTCCCAACCAGCTTATCTACAAGTATGACAACCACCTACCCAGCCCCTCAGCCTTGGTTCCCAACCAGCTTATCTACAAGTATGACAACCACCTACCCAGCCCCTCAGCCTTGGTTCCCAACCAGCTTATGTACAAGTATGACAACCACCTACTCAGCCCCTCAGCCTTGGTTCCCAACCAGCTTATCTACAAGTATGACAACCACCCACCCAGCCCCTCAGCCTTGGTTCCCAACCAGCTTATCTACAAGTATGACAACCACCCACCCAGCCCCTCAGCCTTGGTTCCCAACCAGCTTATCTACAAGTATGACAACCACCTACCCAGCCCCTCAGCCTTGGGTCACAACCAGCTTATCTACAAGTATGACAACCACCTACCCAGCCCCTCAGCCTTGGTTCACAACCAGCTTATCTACAAGTATGACAACCACCCACCCAGTCCCTCAGCCTTGGTTCCCAACCAGCTTATCTACAAGTATGACAAACATCCACCCAGCCCCTCAGCCTTGGTTCACAACCAGCTTATCTACAAGTATGACAACCACCCACCCAGCCCCTCAGCCTTGGTTCCCAACCAGCTTATCTACAAGTATGACAACCACCCACCCAGCCCCTCAGCCTTGGTTCCCAACCAGCTTATCTACAAGTATGACAACCACCAACCCATGCCAGTCCCTCAGCCTTGGTTCCCAACCAGCTTATCTACAAGTATGACACCCACCCTACCAGCCCCTCAGCCTTGGTTCCCAACCAGCTTATCTACAAGTATGACAACCACCCACACAGTCCCTCAGCCTTGGTTCCAAACCAGCTTATCTACAAGTATGACAAACATCCACCCAGCCCCTCAGCCTTGGTTCACAACCAGCTTATCTACAAGTATGACAACCGCCCACCCAGCCTCTCAGCCTTGGTTCACAACCAGCTTATCTACAAGTATGACAAGCACCTACCCAGCCCCTCAGCCTTGGTTCCCAACCAGCGTATCTACAAGTATGACAACCACCTACCCAGCCCCTCAGCCTTGGTTCACAACCAGCTTATCTGACAGTATGACAACCACCCACCCAGCCCCTCAGCCTTGGTTCCCAACCAGCTTATCTACAAGTATGACAACCACCTACCCAGACCCTCAGCCTTTGTTCCCAACCAGCTTATCTACAAGTATGACAACCACCCACCCAGCCCCTCAGCCTTGGTTCCCAACCAGCTTATCTACAAGTATGACAACCACCAACCCATGCCAGTCCCTCAGCCTTGGTTCCCAACCAGCTTATCTACAAGTATGACACCCACCCTACCAGCCCCTCAGCCTTCGTTCCCAACCAGCTTATCTACAAGTATGACAACCACCCACCCAGTCCCTCAGCCTTGGTTCCCAACCAGCTTATCTACAAGTATGACAACCACCCACCAAGCCCCTCAGCCTTGGTTCCCAACCAGCTTATCTACAAGTATGACAACCACCTACCCAGCCCCTCAGCCTTGGTTCCCAACCAGCTTATCTACAAGTATGACAACCACCCACCCAGTCCCTCAGCCTTGGTTCCCAACCAGCTTATCTACAAGTATGACAACCACCCACCCAGCCCCTCATTCTTGGTTCCCAACCAGCTTATCTACAAGTATGACAACCACCTACCCAGCCCCTCAGCCTTGGTTCCCAACCAGCTTATCTACAAGTATGACAACCACCCACCCAGCCCCTCAGCCTTGGTTCCCAACCAGCTTATCTACAAGTATGGCAACCACCCACCCAGTCCCTCAGCCTTGGTTCCCAACCAGCTTATCTACAAGTATGACAACCACCTACCCAGCCCCTCAGCCTTGGTTCCCAACCAGCTTATCTACAAGTATGACAACCACCCACCCAGCCCCTCAGCCTTGGTTCCCAACCAGCTTATCTACAAGTATGGCAACCACCCACCCAGTCCCTCAGCCTTGGTTCCCAACCAGCTTATCTACAAGTATGACAACCACCTACCCAGCCCCTCAGCCTTGGTTCCCAACAAGCTTATCTACAAGTATGACAACCACCCACCCAGTCCCTCAGCCTTGGTTCCCAACCAGCTTATCTACAAGTATGACAATCACCTACCCAGCCCCTCAGCCTTGGTTCCCAACCAGCTTATCTACAAGTATGACAACCACCTACCCAGCCCTCAGCCTTGGTTCCCAACCAGCTTATCTACAAGTATAACAACCACCTACCCAGCCCCTCAGCCTTGGTTCCCAACCAGTTTATCTACAAGTATGACAACCACCCACCCAGCCCCTTAGCCTTGGTTCCCAACCAGCTTATCTACAAGTATGACAACCAACTACCCAGTCCCTCAGCCTTGGTTCCCAACCAGCTTATCTACAAGTATGACAACCACCTACCCAGCCCCTCAGCCTTGGTTCCCAACCAGCTTAACTACAAGTATGACAACCACCTACCCAGCCCCTCAGCCTTGGTTCCCAACCAGCTTATCTACAAGTATGACAACCACCTACCCAGCCCCTCAGCCTTGGTTCACAACCAGCTTATCTACAAGTATGACAACCACCCACCCAGCCCCTCAGCCTTGGTTCCCAACCAGCTTATCTACAAGTATGACAACCACCTACCCAGCCCCTCAGCCTTGGTTCCCAACCAGCTTATCTACAAGTATGACAACCACCCACCCAGCCCCTCAGCCTTGGTTCCCAACCAGCTTATCTACAAGTATGACAACTACCCACCCAGCCCCTCAGCCTTGGTTCACAACCAGCTTATCTACAAGTATGACAACCACCCACCCAGCCCCTCAGCCTAGGTTCCCAACCAGCTTATCTACAAGTATGACAACCACCTACCCAGCCCCTCAGCCTTGGTTCACAACCAGCTTATCTACAAGTATGACAACCACCTACCCAGCCCCTCAGCCTTGGTTCCCAACCAGCGTATCTACAAGTATGACAACCACCTACCCAGCCCCTCAGCCTTGGTTCACAACCAGCTTATCTACAAGTATGACAACCACCCACCCAGCCCCTCAGCCTTGGTTCCCAACCAGCTTATCTACAAGTATGACAACCACCTACCCAGACCCTCAGCCTTTGTTCCCAACCAGCTTATCTACAAGTATGACAACCACCCACCCAGCCCCTCAGCCTTGGTTCCCAACCAGCTTATCTACAAGTATGACAACCACCAACCCATGCCAGTCCCTCAGCCTTGGTTCCCAACCAGCTTATCTACAAGTATGACACCCACCCTACCAGCCCCTCAGCCTTGGTTCCCAACCAGCTTATCTACAAGTATGACAACCACCCACCCAGTTCCTCAGCCTTGGTTCCCAACCAGCTTATCTACAAGTATGACAACCACCCACCCAGCCCCTCAGCCTTGGTTCCCAACCAGCTTATCTACAAGTATGACAACCACCTACCCAGCCCCTCAGCCTTGGTTCCCAACCAGCTTATCTACAAGTATGAGAACCACCAACCCAGTCCCTCAGCCTTGGTTCCCAACCAGCTTATCTACAAGTATGACAACCACCTACCCAGCCCCTCAGCCTTGGGTCACAACCAGCTTATCTACAAGTATGACAACCACCTACCCAGCCCCTCAGCCTTGGTTCCCAACAAGCTTATCTACAAGTATGACAACCACCCACCCAATCCCTCAGCCTTGGTTCCCAACCAGCTTATCTACAAGTATGACAATCACCTACCCAGCCCCTCAGCCTTGGTTCCCAACCAGCTTATCTACAAGTATGACAACCACCTACCCAGCCCTCAGCCTTGGTTCCCAACCAGCTTATCTACAAGTATAACAACCACCTACCCAGCCCCTCAGCCTTGGTTCTCAACCAGCTTATCTACAAGTATGACAACCACCTACCCAGTCCCTCAGCCTTGGTTCCCAACCAGCTTATCTACAAGTATGACAACCACCTACCCAGCCCCTCAGCCTTGGTTCCCAACCAGCTTATCTACAAGTATGACAACCACCTACCCAGCCCCTCAGCCTTGGTTCCCAACCAGCTTATCTACAAGTATGACAACCACCCACCCAGCCCCTCAGCCTTGGTTCCCAACCAGCTTATCTACAAGTATGACAACCACCTAACCCAGCCCCTCAGCCTTGGTTCCCAACCAGCTTATCTACAAGTATGACAACCAACTACCCAGCCCCTCAGCCTTGGTTCCCAACCAGCTTATCTACAAGTATGACAACCACCTACCGAGTCCCTTAGCCTTGGTTCCCAACCAGCTTATCTACAAGTATGACAACCACCTACCCAGTCCTTCAGCCTTGGTTCCCAACCAGCTTATCTACAAGTATGACAACCACCTACCCAGCCCCTCAGCCTTGGTTCCCAACCAGCTTATCTACAAGTATGACAACCACCTACCCAGTCCTTCAGCCTTGGTTCCCAACCAGCTTATCTACAAGTATGACAACCACCCACCCAGCCCCTCAGCCTTGGTTCCCAACCAGCTTATCTACAACCACCTACCCAGTCCCTCAGCCTTGGGTCACAACCAGCTTATCTACAAGTATGACAACCACCTGCCCAGCCCCTCAGCCTTGGTTCCCAACCAGCTTATCTACAAGTATGACAACCACCCACCCAGCCCCTCAGCCTTGGTTCCTAACCAGCTTATCTACAAGTATGACAACCACCAACCCATGCCAGTCCCTCAGCCTTGGTTCCCAACAAGCGTATCTACAAGTATGACAACCACCTACCCAGCCCCTCAGCCTTGGTTCCCAACCAGCTTATCTACAAGTATGACAACCACCCACCCAGCCCCTAAGCCTTGGTTCCCAACCAGCTTATCTACAAGTATGACAACCACCTAACCCAGCCCCTCAGCCTTGGTTCCCAACCAGCTTATCTACAAGTATGACAACCACCTACCCAGCCCCTCAGCCTTGGTTCCCAACCAGCTTATCTACAAGTATGACAACCACCTACCCAGTCCCTCAGCCTTGGTTCCCAACCAGCTTATCTACAAGTATGACAACCACCTACCCAGCCCCTCAGCCTTGGGACCCAACCAGCTTATCTACAAGTATGACAACCACCTACCCAGACCCTCAGCCTTGGTTCCCAACAGCTTGTTCTTGGCGTCATCTTCTCAGTGTAGATCGGGGATTATGTTTCATCATGTCTCCCTGTGTTTCAGCGAGCTGTGGAGCTGAAGTCCCAGCGGATGCAGCTGCTGAGGGAGCGACAGCGGCTGAACCAGGAGCGGGAGAAGTTGAAGCAGCTCCTGCTCCATCACGCGACCACGTGCCCCGGTGTCAGTGACTGTCTCAAAAGGAAATTGGACATTTATCAATAAACATTAAACCTGAACACGCCAGAAATCATTTCATGGAGATCTTTGAGAAGGCAGCACCACCAGATAGCAAGTGACACGTTCACGTGACTGTTCATCCATTTTACTGTAAAAATACAGTATCTTCTCTGTGATATGTAGAAGCCAATAAAATGGTTAACGAAATCATAGGGCATTATGCTTACTTGTAATAGTTGGTTGTTACCTTAGGTTATTATTCAGGACAGGATTCATCTGTTCCTTACCCATGTTCGTTCATCAAGCGCGTTTGCCTTCTGTGAACAGTTCGGTGTGTACATAGGGCACTGTATCCCTGCCATATGTATATAATCACAAGATCCTATCTGGGAGTATCCGACACAGCTTAAGACGTGGTTGACAAAACGGTACAGTATATGCGACTGTCTATGTTGTGCTGCACATTTCCAGCTTGGTCTCGCAAATGTGTTTTTTTTATGTATAAATAATAACCTACACAATATCAGCCACAGATACGAGGTCTGGTCAAAGCCTAACAAACAAAACCATCAATTGTGAAAGTGTTTTTAATTTTATTTTTCAACATAATCTCATATCGATAGTGAAGCTCTTCCGAAGCCACCCTGACAACCCATTCATGCCAGCTTTGAGGTCATCGTTGTGGTAGCGCTTGCCACGAAGGTGTTCTTTCAGTTTAGGAAACAGGTGGAAATCACTTGTTGCCAGGTCTGGCTAGAATGGAGGGTGAGGAAGCTCGGCGAGCCCACACTGTCGCACAGCAGCCTTTGCGAGTTGAGAGGTGTAAGAGTGAGTGAGTGAGTGAGTGAGTATGGTTTTACGCCGCTTTTAGCAATATTCAAGCAATATCACGGCGGGGGACACCAGAAATGGGCTTCACACATTGTACCCATGTCGGGAATCGAACCCGGGTCTTCGGCGTGACGAGCGAACGCTTTAACCACTAGGCTACCCGACCGCCCCGAGAGGTGTAAGAAGAGGCATTGGCATGACATAGTAGAACTCCAGCAGTCAGCATTCCTCGCCGCTTTTCTTCAATAGAATATCTCATGCTTCGAAGCAAATTAGCATAGTAGGCACTTGTAATCGTCTTTTGACTCAAAATAATTAACAAGGATCACACCTTTTGCATCCCTGAATACAGTGGCCATAACTTTCTTCACTGATCTTGAAGACTTGAATTTCTTGGGTGCCGGGGAAGTGGAATAGTGCCATTCCATGGATTGACATTTTGACTCGGGGTCATAGTGGTAGACCCATTTTTCATCACCCGTAACTAATCTCTTTTTTAATTTGACGCAATCCTCTTCAATTAGCTGTATATTTTCTCTGGCAATGTCAGTTCGTTTTTCCTTAAGATCAGAAGTTAGAAACCTAGGCACCCAACGAGCAGATACATTTTTCATCTGTAAATGTTCATGGATAAAAGTGTTAATGGATCCATGGCTTAGACCAGTGTCTTCCTTAAGTTCAGCAATGGTAATACGTCTATCTGAGAAGATCTCCTTCATTGAATCTTCATTGATGGACGTTGAGGGACGTCCAGACCTAGGGTTATTATCAAAGCTTGTTCTCCCAGCCTTAGACATAGCTGCCCAACGTTTAACAGTGGAATGAATAGCTAGGGCACTTATCACTATCACTTGTGAATTTCTTGGGGAGTACTTTTCTCTAAAGTCAAAAACATGGTGACTGCTCGGTACTCGTTCGTTTCCATTTCTGTGTCCATTTGGACCCCTATCACGTTCAAGTGGCTCTCACTAACATACAAACGGTTTAACAGACCAAATACATTTGCAATGAACTACTCAAACAATGTACTACATTCACTTGTTCACTTTGTTGAAAAGCCCATAGTTGAAAGTTAGGCTTAGAACTGTGTCATAGAGTAACAGTTTAAACAATAAGCCACTCCCCGTGATTTCCACTTAAGCATAATAACTGCTCCCCTAGCAGGGAATTCTGGGACCCCTCGCGACGGCTTCTTCCGCCATGGATGTAAACACTCAAGAAGAGTAAATACATGTACATCTTGACTATCCCTCTAATACCGGGTTGTCTTGTTTATTAAATGATTGTATGTAGTCTGGGGTTACCACATATATTGGTGACGAGGTCAATTTAGTGCGTTTGTCGTGCCGGCGAGTAGTAACAACGATCTTGGTCAGACCACGTGCGTTCGCCCGGTATTTAAACCAACATGGCTACCTTCGGCAAAATAGATGAATATGATTCTCAGACTGATGACTGGAATGAATATGTCGAGAGACTTGGACATTATTTCGAAGCAAACGAAATTACAGATCAGGGTAGGAAGCGTGCTATTCTGCTGAGTGTGATTGGTGCGAAGTCATACAAGTTACGGAACTTGTCTACGCCACAGAAACCTGGCGATCATTCTTATGATGCGTTAGTACACCTGATGAAGTCACATTTACACCCGAAACCCACTATTATGATGGAAAGGAGAAGGTACAATATGCGTGATAGACAGCCTAATGAAACTGTTTCGGCATATGTGGCTGAGCTACGTCGTTTGGCATCGACATGTGAATACACTGATTTAGATACTCAGTTAAGGGATCGTCTAGTGTGTGGTATCAACAATGAAGCAATGCAAAAAAGACTGTTAACTGAGAAAACATTGGACTTTGCTAAGGCTTACTCCTTGTGTTTAGGAATGGAAATGGCTGCTAAGGAAGTGCATGATATTAAAGGGGGAGATCAGTTGCCAAGGCCAGTGCACAAGATGAGAGAGGCTAACAGGAGAAATAATGCAGGCAGGAAGTGTGATCGCTGTGGGGGCTCAAATCATGTCAGTAGTCAGTGCTATTACAAAAACGCTGTGTGTAACAACTGTAATAAGGTTGGTCATATCCAGCGTGCTTGTCGCTCTCGAAGCGCCATGAATGATAGATCTTCAGGTCGTGGTCACAGTCGTGGTCGCGACAGGGGCCGTTGTCATGGTCGTGGTACCCATTACAAGGACAACAGATCTTCCACTAATCATGCTTATCGTATTGACGATGTATCTCAGGAAGACGAGAACAATGAATATGGACTTTTTAAGGTAGAAACTCAACATGCTCAAAACGGATTGAGTGGTAAGCGACACAGAGTGGAGCCCTATCTCATTGAAGTGTTAGTTAATGGTAAAAAGCTAACTATGGAGATAGACACTTGCGCAGCAACTTCAGTGATCAGTTCAAGTACTTTCCATTCAGTGTGGAAGGAGGGTGATGACAGGCCCAAGTTATGTGAGACCAATGCTATTCTTCGGTCCTACAACCGAGGGAGAATACCGATAGTAGGCACTACAGACGTTCAAGTAAATTATGGAAATCAGTCGGCTACTCTCCCGCTGACAGTGGTTTGAAGGTGATGGCGAGAACTTGCTTGGCAGAGATTGGCTTCAGGCCATCAGATTAGATTGGGGGAAAATTTTGAATGTGAGAAATGAAGGGTTACAAGACATTTTGAACTCTTATTCTGATGTGTTCCAAGATGATATAGGGGAATTCAAGGGTCAAAAGGTCACTATTGACATCACCTCAAATGTGCCAAGATTTTATAAGCACAGGAATGTTGCTTATGCTCTTCGTCAGAAAGTTGACGATGAACTTGAATGCCTTGAAAAACAGGGTATTATCAAGCCAGTGCAGTATTCTGATTGGGCTGCTCCAATCGTACCAGTGGTTAAATCCAATGGGAACATACGAATTTGCGGAGACTACAAATTAACTGTCAACAAGGTCGCTCGTACTAATGTTTACCCCATTCCACGGATCGAAGATCTGTTCGCATCTTTGTCAGGTGGAAAGACTTTCACGAAACTGGATTTAAGTCAAGCCTACCAACAGTTAACCCTTGACGAGGAGTCGCAAAAGCTCACGACCATAAACACTCATCGTTGCCTCTATCAGTACCAGCGCTTACCCTTTGGCATATCGGCAGCTCCAGCTGTATTCCAGCGAACTATGGAGTGCTTGCTCAAAGTCATTCCCCATGTCTGTGTCTACTTGGATGATATTCTCGTCACCCGGGCCTCTGAACAGGAACATTTGGAAAACATGAAGGAACTCCTATCCAGACTTAGCAAGGATGGTCTCAGATTGAACGCACAGAAGTGCAAATTCATGGTCGTCTCAGTAGAGTATTTGGGTCACAAAATAGATGCGCAGGGTTTGCATCCCCTTGATGAAAAGGTGAAGGCTATAGCGTCGGCTCCAGCTCCACGCAATGTTGCTGAACTTAAATCCTTACTTGGACTCGTGCAGTATTATCAGCGTTTCTTGCCTAATCTCGCCACTACCTTGGCGCCCTTGCATCGGCTTCTCAGGAAAGAAGTTACCTGGTCATGGGGAGCTCAACAGAAAAAAGCTTTCAACATGGTGAAAGGACATTTGTCTTCTTGTGATCTCTTGACGCATTATGATCCCCATAAGAAACTTGTATTGGGGTGTGATGCATCTCCCTATGGGGTAGGTGCCGTCCTCTCACATCAGTCTGATGATGGTGAAGAGAAACCAATAGCATTCGCATCCAGGTCTCTGTCGCAAGCAGAAAAGAATTACTCTCAATTGGATCGTGAAGCTCTAGCAATTATCTTCGGAACTAAGAAGTTCCATCAGTATATCTACGGGCGTTCCTTTACTCTGTTGTCAGATCACAAACCCCTCGAGAGCATCTTCAGTCGGGACAAGGACATTTCACAGATGGCATCTAGCAGAATTCAACGTTGGGCATTAACCCTCTCTGCATATAACTATACAATCGAGTACAGAAAAGGTACTTCCCTTGCGAATGCCGACTGCATGAGTCGTCTTCCCTTACCATACACACCACCAAATCCACCTCTACCAGGGGACACAATCCTCTTACTGGAAGCAATGGATGCTTCTCCTGTGAAATCATGGCAAATTAAACAATGGACAGACAGAGATCCAACCCTTTCCAGAGTAAGAAATTTCCTTCTTTCTGGATGGCCAAGCATAAATCTAGAGGAGTCTTTCACTCCTTTTGTGAAAAGGAAACATGAATTGAGTGTCCTTGATGGCTGTGTTTTGTGGGGCAATCGTATTGTTGTGCCGCCACAAGGTCGAGAGATTGTTGTGAACATGTTGCATGAAGCTCATCCAGGTATCTCGCGCATGAAGTCTGTAGCGTGTGGATTCGTATGGTGGCCAAAGATGGATGATGAATTGGAACTCAAGGTGAAAACCTGTTCTGTGTGTCAACAGTCTCGTCCAGTACAAGCCGAGGCTTCGCTTCACTTTGGGGAATGGCCCGAACATCCATGGAGTCGTTTGCATTTAGACTATGCCGGACCTTTCCTGGGTAAAATGTTCCTTGTGTGTATTGACGCACATTCTAAATGGTTGGAAGTGTTTCCAGTGAACAGTGCCACATCCACTGCTACAATTGATTGTCTCAGACATATGTTTGCAACTCATGGACTGCCAGACCAAGTGGTCACTGACAATGGCACTTGTTTTACAAGTGAGGAATTCTCTGTCTTTATGAAACGTAATGGCATCACTCATACATGTGTGGCACCGTATCACCCTGCCTCTAATGGGTTAGCAGAACGAGCTGTACAAACCTTTAAATCTGGCATTAAACATATGACACGGGGCACATTGGACACAAAACTTGCACGGTTTTTGTTCAGATACAGACTTACCCCGCAGACTACAACGGGGTTATCTCCAGCAGAATTACTTCTTCGAAGAAGACCGAAGTCTCATCTCAATCTTTTTCATCCAGATATGAGCTGTAAAGTTAGGAACAAACAAGAACAGCAAAAGTCAGTACATGATGCACATGCAAAGGACCGTCACTTGCAAGTTGGAGATCTTGTGTATGTTTTAAACTTTCGTCCTGGTGACAAATGGTTGTCAGGAATCATAACAGAGAGAACCGGTCCAGTGTCGTTCCATGTTCGTCTTGACAATGGTAGTGTTGTCAAGCGCCATATTGATCACCTGCGGTTGCGCCATGTTCTGACGCATGAAAGCCAACATGATAAAACAGTTCCATCAACACATGAACAATCAGTTCTACCAGAACTACCCGACAAGTTACCTATGTTGCCTGAACCTGGCAACATTCCAGTACTTCCGGGTTCTCCTCACCTGCAAGATGAAGTAACTTCTACAAGGCCGGAGCCACAGCAGGTCTTACCAGAGGCACTATCTCCTACTCAGTCAGATTCTTGTGGTGCGCAAGAATTTCGTCGTTCTTCCAGAATCCGGAAAGCGCCGGATAGACTTAATCTAAAGATTGCTGCTGAGTTATGAACTGTAATGAGAATGTGATGTATTTCACACTATTTGTCACCTAAGTGAACCATCAGTGATTGATAGTTTTGGATCTTGTCATTGGTTCCCTTATTCAGACATAAGCAGATGCATATCCAGTTATCTTTAATCATTAATGCAAGTGCATATTCAGTTAAAGTGTTCCAGTTATTGTGTGACATGAGAGACTCTAAATAACATCTGGAACAATATTGGTTAAATTTCATTTAAAATGTTCCAATGAGATGTGTGAAGAGACACTTTAATGACATCTTCTGGAGCAATTGTCAGTTCTTTTAACATGTGTAGATTCATTATGGTAGTTATGTTTAAAGTGCAACAAAACTATGGGGGAGGAGTGTCATAGAGTAACAGTTTAAACAATAAGCCACTCCCCGTGATTTCCACTTAAGCATAATAACTGCTCCCTTAGCAGGGAATTCTGGGAACCCTCGCGACGGCTGCTTCCGCCATGAATATAAACACTCAAGAAGAGTAAATACATGTACATCTTGACTATCCCTCTAATACTGGGTTGTCTTGTTTATTATATGATTGTATGTAGTCTAGGGTTACCAAAAACTGTTTGACCAGCCCTCGTATTTTAAACTTGTCACTGAAATATTATTTTTTTCATACCTACTTTTACAACACCATCGACATATCAAGCCGTAGGGTAATATGTCAAACTTTACATGGGCTTCCCTCGAACATGATGCTGCCAGGCCGTAATTTAACTACACAAATATTGAAACTTAATGTTAAATCTGATCTTTACATGTCCAATCTGTGTGCTTAACATACATGTAATCGCTGACCAGCATCTCAGCTTTATCCCGCGCATCACTGGAGCGAGAACTGGCTGCAGCCGGAGAAATGATACGTCGCTGTTTCCTAACCAGAGATAACAGATCAACATTTGAAAATGCATATCGATTAGAAATCTCAGGAAATTATTTCGACAAAGGAAGGTCATCTCAAGCCATGGTCGAGTTATTTTTATTTTGAGTTGACAATTTTATGATTAATTGCATCTACCAACCTGTCTCCTGCTGGGTCCCGGGCTGCCACTGGTAACTGGATCGGCTGGTCAGTAAAACCGTTGATATAGTTGATGTCGTTTGCTTTAACGGCCAAGGACTGTAATCATTTTATCAACTTCTGTTTTCTGCCCGGTCCAGATTCGATTATTCTATTTAGATCGCAGGCAATCTCATTAAAATCGGATCTTAGTTCTCGCTACCGCTAAACAAAGATCTGAGGACATCCCATTATGGGGCACGACAGACCGACCACTGGATTGACCAATCAGAAGGGAGCTTTCTCGCGCTTTACGGCACTAATTTCAAATTGGCGACTACGCTTCGAAACATATTTTGACAAATTATCGATTACAAATTTGTAACCTGAACAAAATAACATTCTGGAATGGATAAAAGATATTCTAGATTGTATGGATTCAGTCGTTAAACCCCGTAACTATCGTTCGGAATGGCCCATGCTAAAGTTTTAGAGGTTGCATGATTAGAAATCACATTCCGACTGTCACTTTCATAATCTGGTAAGCGATGCTCTGATTAGTCGGATGAAAGGTCTAGCGTTGATGTTTTTAATTAAAACAAAAATAAACTGATATGAAATAAATATTGCAGACAGTTAATCTTTATGCATGCTCTGTTTAAAGTGTGGGTACGTAAACGAACAGACCAGAATCATCACAATGCTTTCGTCTTGTTTTTTCCACCTCTCACGTACTCTGACAGGGCAAGGGGACATTGTGGGGAACTAGGGCTGATGGAGTTATCTCCCCTGCTTCATAAACCCAGGTTTATTTTTTCGCCAACAGGACGCAGAACTGCAGCAGATATCCGCGGACGTTTGCGAAACTAATTGCTATTGTCATGTCACTTTATGATAGCCTGAAGCCTTGTTAGGTTAGTAGATAATTATTAATAACTAGAGCACCACCTAGGTGGTGCTCTGACGTCATCAAGGTCACGTGACCGTCAGTGTCTCATTAATATGCAGAATAACTCATTAATATTCAAATGTATGCATGACGTCACATGTCAAATAGGTTAATAAAGGGTCAACTGACCAGATGCAATCATGCAATGAATGACTTGACCATTCGTTAACCGTAGAACACGGGATAGTAATGAATGTCCCTATATGGACATGTTACTACGACCGGGGTTGGGTTGGGTCTTGACTCACCCGGAATGGAATGTCATTGTGAGTACATTTTGGCACGAGAACATCTGGTGAACATTTGAACCTTTTGCATTGAAGACATTTCTCTGTGGGCATTCGGTGGCGGGCCATGTGTGGTAATATTTAAAAGCCCAGGAAAAGGTTCACGTAGAAAGATCTCCCGATATTCAATTACGTTAATAAAGGGTCAACTGACCGTATGCAATCATGCAATTAATTACTTGACCATTCGTTAAACGTAGAACAACACGTGTCTAAAAACAAGATGGCGGACGTTGCCATGAACGCTCACGGGTGTCACGTGTCCTCGGTTTGAATCTCGCGCCTGACCTACAAGTCAGTTCTATTGGGCCCCATTCCACATCTTAGGCTAAGTTGATCCATAAGTGCAATAACTCATTCATAGTCAAATATAATCATGACGTCAAGGGTCAGAAAGAGTAATGAGAGGTCTGTTGTTCCAGTGCACGAAGGAAATGTATTTATGAGTGTCGCAGGTTAAGTTTTACTAATATGTTAATTATGTCACCAACTTGTTCCCATATCTAATATTGGCTTGAACAGGCCACCTTAACTGTGGTCTGTCAGGTACATCCTGGGCCCTGGCACATGCAGTCCCTGCAAATGATGTAGAGGCAGGTCACATGACTGTCCTCTATATAGACTGCATGTGTTAGGAACCCAGCACACACCATGCCGGACCACCAAGCCATATAGCATGTCGCTTTGTTATAATTGCAGGTATGTTGAATGGGTTGTGTGAATGCTCTTTTAATCTTTTTTTATTGAAATAGGTTCATTCTTGTGTGAATTATATTAGTCCAGATAACTGTTTTATTATTGAGATGAATATCAATAATATAGTAGATAACTGTATAATTATTGAGATGAATATCAATAATATAGTAGATGACTGTTTAATTATTGAGATGAATATCAATAATATAGTAGATAACTGTTTAATTATTGAAATGAATATCAATAATATAGTAGATAACTGTTTAATTATTGAAATGAATATCAATAATATAGTAGTTAAAAACAACTACATGGTCAGCATGTGTTAGGAACCCAAGACACACCATGCCGGACCACCAAGCCATATAGCATGTCGCTTTGTTATAATTGCAGGACTCATCATAAATAAAACATCAGCCCAGAACGAGAACTTTGTTGTTCCTGTGACATTATGGCGCCCAACGTGGGGCTGATGTAGGAATGAAGACCTGTGGCTTGTGTGGCCGTGACGTCATCGTATCCCTGTGGTTGTAATCACAGCAGCTGCAGTCTCCGCATGGATGGAGCAATTCTTTTCTCGTGCTGAGATATTCAGTTGGAAGTGGTAGGGCCCGTACCCCATGGGGAAATTATGATTGACATCGCCGGCATCATGTGTACACTCGCGTTATCGCGTTCGCGTTCCAAAGTTGGTTGTTGTTCTTTTGGTTTTCTTTTTTCTTTTTGTGCCAGGACAATAACTTTCTGTTCAGGGACTTCGCTGAGGTGCAAGTGACTTTATACTTTTCATTGTGTTTACTTGACATTGTGATGTCAGCATGTGACTTTGCATTACCTTTGCTAGATAATTTTGTCAGCATGTGACATTGTTCTAGTCGGCAAAGTGAAGATTGTGTTTGTGTATGTTCATTCTTGATTATGAACCTAGCATGGCCATTTGAAATGTTTGTTGTTCGATTTTGTTAATTTTTGACTATGAATTCCGTTTTTGGAATACCTTTGTGTGATTATTTGGTTAGCGTACTATAATCTGGGTGTTTAAAACAAATTCAGGTAGCAGTTTACTGTGAGTAAAATGGAAAGAATGAATCTTTGACTGTATGGAAGGTTTATCTGCACTTCATTTTCACTCAATATCCCTTAACAAGTATTGCAATAATACTCACTGACACATTTTATATTGACTGATTCAAATTGATGTCATTAATAATGACTTGTTTGTTTTCAGACAGCAGCTTGGTCCAGCATTTATTATTGTGAACTTCATGGATATATTTTCACTTCTAATGCTTGAGAAAGTCTTTGTTGTATTACTCTATTTGTTGATTACCAGTGCAGCCATGGCTACTGGTGGGAAAGAGGACTGGGAAGGCTTGAAGGAGGAAGAGGGACACATTGGCCGTGAGGATCTCCAGAAAATGATCAGGTTTATGGAAACATCTGGCTACCGTGTGCTTCCACCAAGTTCAACACCTCACCAGGTGGCAAGTCATTCCTTTTCTTCTTCACCTAGTACACATTATGTGCAGCCACCTCGTATTTCAACATTTTCTGGCAGTGATGCTAAGGGGGAATCATCCTTCGAGAGTTGGGTTTTTGAGGTCAAATGCTTGCTTAGAGATAGAGATTATCCCACTTCCATCCTAACTCAGGCTGTTCGGAAATCTCTTAAAGGGGAGGCTGGAAAAGTTGTTCTCTTACTTGGAGAATCTGCCTCAGTTGAGGAAATCTTGGCTAAACTGGATAGCATATATGGTGTCGTTAGTTCAGCTGATACACTTCTTCAGGATTTTTTCACTGATTGTCAGAAGGATAGTGAGTCCGTGGCAACGTGGGCTTGTAGGCTTGAGGACACATTGATGAAAGTTAAGATGAAGGGCGACTTCATAAATGAAGGATCCGGGGATTGCATTCTAAAGACAAAGTTTTGGAGTGGTTTAAAAAATGACAGGCTTAAGGATGCCACGCGTCACAAATTTGATGATTGTACAGATTTTGATTCTCTGCTTCGTGTTGTTCGAGAAACAGAACAAGAGCTCACTGGGTCTAATAGGGTTAAGGACTCTAAACAGAAGAAGCCTCAAGTTCATTCTCAGGTTGTTGATGCAGATATATCTCAATACTTGAAGGATATTATCAAGAGATTAGAGAACTTAGAGAAAAATCAGATAAGTTCAAATCAACATAAATCATCAAAATTGGAGAAGGATGTTGGGGAGATTGTAACTAGATTAACAAAACTTGAGTCCAAAGTTGGAAAAGTTACTCAATCTGGTAGTAACTCTGGAAATTCTAGTTCGTGTTGTAGTGGCCAGGGTCGTGGTAGAGGTATGGTCAGTAACCGGGCTTTAAACCAGTCTTGACTTCTGTTGAGGAGCAAACAGACGTCACTGATATTTCCAGCTCCAACGACTTGTATTCTAGGATGGTTGGTCCACGTGTACAGGCTAATGTCTTTGTTAATGGCAGGGAATGTTTGGTCTTGCTTGATACAGGTTCACAGGTAACAACCGTTGCAGAAACGTTTTATCATGCGTACATGAATGATCTTGAGTTGCGCAGTCTGGATGAGTTTCAATTGGAAGTGAGTGGTGCAACTGGTAACAAGCTGCCATATTTAGGTTATATTGAGGTTCCTATTGGCGTTGCATTTGATACTAGAACGTATGACATTCCAGTCTTGGTAGTTGGGGATACAGAGTTTAATGCTAGAATTCCTGTAATTCTCGGTACCAATGCTCTCAAACTATTTCGCCATTGTCCACTGGATGTTGTCTCTGAACCTTGGCAGGCAATCTTGGCATATTTGAATGCCAGTGTAGGTATTGTCAGGTCTACCAGTAAGCATTCCTTTTCACTTAAGCCCATGGCAGTTGCTACATTGAGAGGCATAGTCCATACCCAGTCAGGCAGAATGACCGCTGTTACCGAACAGTTAGATAATGGCAGTTCACCTCAAGGGTTAGGTATCTGTCCAAGGGTAGTAGAAATAGGAGCTCAAGGCAAAAGTACTGTAGTTCATGTAAAAGTTTGTAATTTATCCGCAAGGGTTATTACACTCCCAGGTAGAGCTAAGCTGTGTAATTTGCAGGAGGTTCAGGTGATGGATTGTTCACCGTTGAACTTAGACAAGTTTTCTTCTGGTACTGTTAAAGAAAATCCTCCCGTTACCATTGATTTAGAGGGCAGTCCACTGTCATGTGAACAGAAACACAAGGTCGAGGGTATGCTTAGTCATTGGTCAGACATTATGTCTCAACATTCATTAGATTTAGGGCATACTACAACAGTCCAACATGAAATAAACCTCACAGATGATAAACCATTTAAGGAGCCATACCGTAGGATACCCCCAGCCTTATTTGAAGAAGTAAGGCAACATCTTAAAAACATGCTCGAGTGTGGAGCCATTCGTGAAAGTAGTAGCCCTTATTCATCAAACATTGTCTTAGTACGCAAAAGGGACAACGGTCTGAGAGTATGCATTGACATGAGAAAACTTAATGCTAGGACTATTAGAGATTCATATTCTTTACCCAGGATAGATGAAACTCTTGATTGTCTTGTTGGTTCTCGGTGGTTCTCCAAGCTGGATTTTAGCTCTGGCTACTGGCAAGTAGAGTTAAAAGAACCGGATAAGGAAAAAACAGCATTTTCTGTAGGTCCTCTCGGCTTCTATGAGTGTAATAGAATGCCATTTGGGTTGACAAATGCACCAGCAACTTTTCAGAGATTAATGGAAAGATGTATGGGGGATTTACACCTTAAGGAATGCTTGATCTATATTGATGACATCATTATTTTCTCACAAACGTTTGAACAACATTTGGAGAGAGTAGAGGCTGTTTTTCAGAGGTTGCGAGAACATGGTCTAAAGTTGAAACCTTCAAAGTGTGAGCTTTTCAGAAATAAGGTTAAATACCTAGGGCATATTGTGTCATCCCAGGGTGTAGAAACAGATCCAGAGAAAGTGGAAACACTGATAAATTGGCCAATTCCTAAGAATATTAAAGAGCTACAGAAGTTTCTGGGTTTCACTGGTTATTACCGTAGATTTGTCGAGAACTATGCCAGGATAGCGAAACCTTTGACTGATTTACTTCTTGGGAATCTGCAGAAAGGAAAGCCAAAACAGAAGGGAAAATGGACTTGGAATAGCGAACAGCAGAAAGCTTTTGATACACTGATTCAGTGTCTTACATCACCTCCAGTGCTAGCCTATGCAGACTACACTTTACCTTTTATCATTAACATAGATGCAAGTATGGAAGGTCTAGGGGTAATACTTTATCAAGTTCAGGATGGTAGGGAACGTGTGATAGCATACGCCAGTAGAGCACTTAGGAAACCTGAGAGAAATTACCCAGCTCATAAGTTGGAATTCTTGGCGCTAAAGTGGGCTGTGTGTGACAAATTCCATGAGTATCTGTATGGAAGTCGTTTTGAAGTAAGAACGGACAACAATCCCCTTACATATGTTTTGTCAACAGCCAAGCTGGATGCAACTGGTCATAGGTGGCTAGCTGCTTTATCCACTTATGATTTCAAGATTGTCTATCGTGCAGGGAAAATCAACAAGGATGCTGATGCATTATCTCGTCACCCTCAGTTTTCTCAGCATATTCAGGCAGATGTAGTAAAAGCAGTTTGTTGCTGTCAGACCGTGAATGCTGTTAGGTGTTTGACTGTTAGTCCAGCTGTTGAGGAAAGCAAAGTCCCTTTTAATCATGTTGATTGGGCATTTGAACAATCTAAGGATCCGGATATAGCTAGGGTTGCAGGTTTTGTTTTGAACGAGAGAAAACCTACGTCACGTCAATTGAGTAAGGAGACTGACACCGTTCGTAGACTCTTAGGACAATGGTCCAAGTTTGTTTTGAGGGATGGTGTCCTCTTCAGGAAGAGGTGGCATCAAAACAGTTTAGGACATCAGCTTATCTTACCAAAGCAATGGCAAAAACTTGTTCTTGATGCACTGCATGATGATATGGGTCACCAAGGACGCGATAGAACATAGAACATTGGATTTAGCACAATCACGATTCTATTGGCCTGGTTTAACCAGTGATGTGGATAGAAAGGTACGTTGTTGTGGGAGATGCATCAGACGAAAAAATTCTCCAAACCAAGTTGCTGCTCCATTAGTTAATGTGACTACTAGTCAACCCATGGAGTTGGTTTGTATAGATTATCTCTCACTAGAGGAAGCTAGGGGCTGTGGTAATATCCTAGTTATCACTGATCATTTTACTAGGTTTGCACAGGCTATTCCTACCAGAAATCAGACTGCTAACACAACAGCCAAGGCATTGTTTGATTTTTTCCTTCATTATGGATTTCCAGCTCGGCTGCATAGTGACAAAGGACGCAACTTTGAATCTAAGGTCATTAAAGCTTTGTGCAGGCTTGCAGGTACAGTTAAGACTAGCACCTCACCATATCATCCTATGGGAAATGGTATGGTAGAACGGTTTAATCAGACTCTCCTCAAAATGCTAGGTACTTTGGAGGACAATCAGAAGGAAAATTGGACAATGTATGTTCCAGCTCTCGTACATGCATACAATGCTACCAGACATGATAGTACAGGCTATTCACCTTTTTTTCTTATGTTCGGGCGCCATCCACGTTTAGCTTTGGATGCTTTTCTTGGTATTGGTTCTGAAGATTTGCAAGAAAGTTCTGGGACAGATTATGTTTCACAATTGAAGGAAAGGTTGAATTTTGCTTACAAGGTTGCTTCCGCAGAATCGGGAAAGGCTGCCAGTCGGCACAAGAAGAGATATGACCGTAGAGTGAGGGAAGCTGTTCTTTCTGAAGGTGACAGGGTTCTTGTGAGAAATGTAGGTTTTAAGGGAAAACATAAGTTAGCAGATTTTTGGTCTCGTGAGTCTTATGTTGTTCTTCACAAGCCCAACCGAGACATCCCGGTATACATCGTCAAAAGAGAAGATGGAAAAGGCCCCACAAAAACTTTGCACAGAAATATGTTGCTTCCTTACATGTCTCTTCCAGTTCGACATGAGCAGGAACCTAGGCAAAGTCAACCAAGTCAATGTGAGATACCTGAATCCGATCATTCCTCGACGGAGGACAGTGATTGCGAAGACATGGTAGTTTTCTCTGTTGGGGGTGGTCATGGAAACCATGATATTTCCATCACTTCATCTTCCACTGAGACGGATAATACTGCATCACAGATTTCCAATGAGGTCAATGTTGGAAATACAACTCGGGAACAGAATATGGCTCTTGACTCAAATGTAAGCCCATTTGTTCCACGGCGATCCAGTCGTGAAAGAAGACCACCTGTCTGGTTCAATGATGGCAACTGGGTCATGCAGCATCAGGCTGATACTGAAATCTTTATCTGATTTTCTCAAGTTGTTCAGACATTTTTTGTATCTATGTGCTAATTTGTTGGTTTTTATTTTCAGATGCTGTTCGTATTTGAAATGTCGGGGACGACATTTTACAGAAGGGGGGGAAGGTGTCGCAGGTTAAGTTTTACTAATATGTTAATTATGTCACCAACTTGTTCCCATATCTAATATTGGCTTGAACAGGCCACCTTAACTGTGGTCTGTCAGGTACATCCTGGGCCCTGGCACATGCAGTCCCTGCAAATGATGTAGAGGCAGGTCACATGACTGTCCTCTATATAGACTGCATGTGTTAGGAACCCAGCACACACCATGCCGGACCACCAAGCCATATAGCATGTCGCTTTGTTATAATTGCAGGTATGTTGAATGGGTTGTGTGAATGCTCTTTTAATCTTTTTTTATTGAAATAGGTTCATTCTTGTGTGAATTATATTAGACCAGATAACTGTTTTATTATTGAGATGAATATCAATAATATAGTAGATAACTGTATAATTATTGAGATGAATATCAATAATATAGTAGATGACTGTTTAATTATTGAGATGAATATCAATAATATAGTAGATAACTGTTTAATTATTGAAATGAATATCAATAATATAGTAGATAACTGTTTAATTATTGAAATGAATATCAATAATATAGTAGTTAAAAACAACTACATGGTCAGCATGTGTTAGGAACCCAAGACACACCATGCCGGACCACCAAGCCATATAGCATGTCGCTTTGTTATAATTGCAGGACTCATCATAAATAAAACATCAGCCCAGAACGAGAACTTTGTTGTTCCTGTGACATGAGTCCTTCATTAAGTAAGAACAAAGCGTAGTAATGAGTGTCCCTATATGGAAGTGGCTACTACGAGGTTCAAATGTGATTCACAGGGAAAGGAATGTCATTGTTAGACATATGCCATTGACGCATGTATTTCGCGTAGTAATGACTGTCACATGTGGCAAAGAGGGTAGTGA